CGTTACGTCTAAACTGTCGCTATTCTTCTGCACCTTTTCGTAAAATTAAATCAAATTAGTTTTATAGCAGAGTCGATTAAATTTTTAATTTGAAGGATCCAAGCACAATTTATTAACATTAAATAAATAATGTAAAAATAATTCCTACTAATCAGCATTCTTTGAAATCTCAACGCGCTGAAAATCTCATCGCCGCTTCAAATGCTGTCAGTAATGCGCCACCCTCCATCATTACATTTATCTCATAACGTTAATATAAACAGATACGCGGGGTACGCCGGCGGGCGAAGGGGGGAAACGGGTGGTTATTCGAGCCAACGATACACCGGATTAAAAGCAACGGGGTGAAATAAACCCCCTGCAAATTAAATTTCACGTACGACTCCTGCCTCGATTCACTGTGCGGTTTACTAAGTTCTACGAGATTGAATTATTGAAGGAAATTATATTGGTAGAGATTAGGCGTGATGTTGGCGCGGGGGTGGGAAAGGGGAAAGTTCGAGTCCGCTTGGGAGGACGCGCCCCCCGGTAATAGGTACGTGTCTGCCAGTGTCTGGGAAGTTCATAGAGGAAGTTAAGTCGCCCATGATTGAGTCCGCGGACTTGTTAGCCTCTGTGTAGTTTTCTGCGCCGCATGTAATTTACCGCGTATTCTAGTGGGGTTGTTTTCCAAGCAAAATCCGCCCCCGTCCCGTTCGACCAGAGTCTCGTCAAATATTTGACACGCCGGAAGGGTCGTTAACGCCGAGAATATACCCTTAAATAACCTTAGGGCGCGAGGGTGTTTGCCGAGTCAGCCCGATACCGGTATCGAGTGCAAGTCAAAGGGACACAGGCGCACGGCAAAGTGTTTGATCTCTACAAATATTGTATAAAACCACCCAAGCCAAGTATGCTGGACCAACATTTTCCGACGAAAATGGTTTGATGCTCACTCGGAGAACAGCCTATCAACAACAAGTTGAGAAATTCTTAAAGTCCATAAAATGTCATGAAACTTTACTACGGGCTAGCTTAGGAGTTGTTAGAACATGAGACTCCCAATTGGCGAGATCCAACACCTTTAAAGAAGTCGATTACGAAAACATTCTGGAAGTCAGTCGCGACTAGATGGTATAATTTATTATTGTAATTACCACAGATAAAAAAAGCTAAATCAGGTACTTCCTCTATAAAATAATTCAAAACATGTTTCGACTCCAACTGGCAAGTTGTCTTACAGGGGCTATCATAAACCGATAGTACCAATTTGGTAATATAGTCAAATCGGGAAATCACAAATGAAAATTGCACTCACTCCAAACTCCAAGGTACTGAACCTGTCCTCGTTGCAAGCCTTTGCGTCTGATCATTTGCTGACTCCTACGTACTATTTGGGAAGTCAATGCTATTTCAACAGGGCAACTCCAACATGTAGTCGCCAACAACCGGGTTTCGAAATCGAAGAACGTCGACCCGGACGAAAGGAGGAACATTGGCAGAAGAAAGTAAAAAAAAAACTGGAATAAAGAATTGGTTAACGTCTTGCCAAAGGTAAAATACCAGAAAATGATAGCAAACTTACTCACGATGTCGTTTTGGGTGTTCGAGTTTCTGTCAACCAAAATTCCGCATTGGAAAATTTAAGATATCCAACAGCGCCTTCTTGACAGAACTTCTCCTGTTATCGTGTGGTAAAAGATAAAATCAATGTCGAAACCAACTCTTACTTAACCACTGGTAAAAGCGTGGTTCCGCCGATGATTAAACTAATCCCTTTTGTTTTACTTTGCCTGTCGGTAACTAGCCATTAAAAATAAATGTAAACGTAGCGAAATGTCAAACAATATAACCGAAGATTTTTCGGGAGATGAATTATAAAATAAAAATTGATGAATATATTAATTTGACCGTCTTGTATGAGGCGAGTTAAATACTCGATTCCACATAAGACATGACTAGACTTTTATTTTGTGAACTTCTGATTTTAAATTTATAACTGGAAAGAAATTACGAATATAGTTGTACCGTTGCCTTTTTGAAACCAATCCATTGCAGTATGATTAATAAGGGGTGTTTTTTTTCGATGTATAGAACTTTAAGTTGCAATAAAAGAACGATGGATTCGATTCGATTATTTATCCGAAAAATAGTCTTGTGCCATTACATTTTAAATATGATTTCTGGCATATGACCGCCACGGCTGGCGCGGATGTAGTCCAATCTCGACGTCCAATTTTCGATTACTTTTTCCAACATTTGCGGCCGTATATCGGTAATAACACGGCGAACGTTTTATTCCAAATGGTCAAGCGTTTGTGACTTCTCCGCATAGACCAATGACTTTACATAGCCCCACAGAAAGTAGTCTAGCGGTGTTAAATCACAAGATCTTGGAGGCCATTTCACAGGTCCAAAACGTGAAATTAGGCGGTCATCAAACGTGTCTTTTAATAAATCGATTGTGGTACGAACTGTGTGACATGTTGCGCCGTCTTGTTGAAACCACATCTCCTGGACATCATGGTTATTCAATTCAGGAATGAAAGAGTTAGTAATCATAGCTCTATACCGATCTGTAACGTTCTGGTCATCATCGTTTTTGAAGAAGTACGGACTCATAAAGCGCACCAAACAGTCAGTTTTTCTGGATCTAACGGTGTTTCGACATACACTTAAGGATTAGCTTCGCTCCAAATACGGCAGTTTTGTTTGTTGACGTAGCCATTCAACCAGAAGTGCGCTTCATCGCTAAACAAAATTCGCCTATGAAAATCGGGAACAACGGCAATCTCGTTTTGGGCCCATTCGACGAATCTACGCCTTACTTGATGATCGTTTGGCTTCAATTCTTGCACGAGTTGGATTTTGTAAGCACGTAAACCAAGATCCTTCCGCAAAATCTTCCATAAAGTGGATGGACACAGATCCAATTCCTGTGCTCGATGGCGGATGGACTCATTCGGGTCTTCCTCAATGCTACGCTCTACAGCGGCAATAGCTTCTTCTGTACGTACCGTATGGCGTCTCTGGGGATGCGAGTTATCAAGAAGAGTAAACGTGGTGCGAAAACGTTCCATGGTTAATCGAATTAACTGCTCTGATGGACGATTTTGTCGACGATAAAATGGACGTAGTGCGCGATACGTATTCCGCACAGAACCATTATTTTCGAAATAAAATTGCACTATTTGCAAGTGTTGTTCAGGCGTGAGTCTATTCGTGATGAATTGCCAAACCAAACTGAGAATAAATCACTTGACAGCTATTAAATCGGTCGCCATCTTGAACAGTAATGCCAACATAAAGTTCTATACATCGAAAATAATAACCCTGAATTTCCATGGATAACCAAGTAGTATTATTCCAATTTTTTGAAAGAAATTAAAATTCGTTATTTTTCTTGTAGGAATGAAAAATAAACAAATAGGAAATTTTTGAACATGAAATAGTTTTGAAATACACTCGTAACAACTTTCGTATTGTTACGTTTTGAATCGACAAAAATTAATTCGTCAAACGCGATGGTGAATTTAAAAGTTCCACCCGAGTAAAAATTAACAGAATACAAAATTTACATCAAAAAATATATGCCGCTCTGTAGATGCAGGATGAAAAAATATAATGGATGTTTCAATTTTAATTTCTAAGATAAATGGAATATTCAAAATAACGATAATTTGATTAATAAACATACCCACAAATATCTTTAACTGACCCAAATTTAAGTTAATTTATCAATGAAATGAGAAACGGTTTCTTCAGAACTAAACTGAAACAGTTTCAGTTTCACTCTGAAGAAGCCAACGGAATGATTGGCGAAACGTCAGCAACTTTGATTTATAAGCAACCGAACCAGCCCAGGAGGAATACAGAATATTTGTAAATAAAATTTCAAATTAAAAATAATCTAATACACAATATTTTGTTGCATAGCTATTTCTGAAACAAATCATTATTGAAGATTCGCCAATGAAAATTACTTAAAGTAAGTAACTCTTTTATGAACAGATCAGATGTGGTCTCAAAATAATAAAGAAAATTTTTTCTACGCCCGTCTGTAAAATACCTAATTACACACCGATCTAGCGTGCGGAAAGCGTCACTTTACCAAGTCAGTTTTGTTTCCCACGAATCCGAGCCACTTCGGACATTTCCGGCATTTTAACGCACGGATTTGGGAGCAATCGGATGTTTTCGGAGATATTTCCCACGTTTTGAATTTTGGCGTTTGTCAATTCTGACGGTCATGTCAGTGAATGTATTTGTGTGGTTTTGCGAAAATGTACCCAAAAACTAACGATCGTAGAAAAAGTATAGTATGTAACATATTCGGTAAACTTTTTAACTCACTCGTTTATTAAAAACTAGCTCTGCTGCGCTCCGCTCGTGTCAAATAAACTCGTGAGTCAAATGCCGTTTACCGCACTTGTTGCATGACATACTATTTTTGTCCACGACACACTAATTTCATTACTACTTGTATTCAAAAATGTTTTCAAAAATTCTTTACTTTCGTAGCCATTCATTATGGAACAGCTTGCAACCGCATTTGAAAAACTTATGAATTTAAAAAATATATTAGGGCCCATTTATTGTTGTTAAGAATCTTGTCTTGCTCTTAAAGGAAGTACCATTTATTTCCTCTGATCTATTATTTCGTCTCCTTCCTAGAATTCTTAGGAAACAAAATAATATCTACTGCTTGCATAGTTTATATTAGGTAAAGTCCCTTTTGCATGGGTCTTCTAAACCCTAATGTCACAGTTTAAAGAGTTTTTGTATAAACTCACTTTTGTTATTTTATTTCTATTTTTGTTAATGTTTTTTTTTGTTGTGTTTTGTTAATGTGATTTTTGATTTCATTTGATTTGTAATTATTTAGCTACATTAGCGTAATGTTTTATGAAACACCCTGTATACTGGAAAATTTTTCTTCGAACCGAGCATATCGGAGCGTGTATGAGCGGTTTATATTCTCGGAGGCGAGCAGAAATTGATTTTTGCGTTTTTGTTTCCAGTTAAACCTGAAGTGGTACGAATAATCGGCGTCGACGGGGCGTCGATGGCCAACGCTTCCATTTTGGGGCCCAAGAATTTGGGCGACGAGGTAGATTTGGTGTGCGAAGCGGGCATCGGTAAACCAATACCCAGAATAAGCTGGTACAACGGCAGCACGCTGATAAATCGAGGTGAGTAGTAATAGTAGCTAGAAACGAAAACACTTATTATTAGTTTTCGGTAGTTATTTAGGAAGACTTTAAAATTTTCTTTGAGCTTCACTAAAACCTGAATGTGTGAAAATGATTTGGTTTCCATAGTTTTTTCACAGAAAAATTTTAATTTAAAATTAGCAAGTGTCATGTGACACTTTATTTTGGCATTTGTTTTATTCGATCTGTGTCGTCGACCAAACTTGGCAAATTATCGAGAATTTAACAAACGCCCTAGCTATTTCCTTTCCTTGTACTTTCTTTTTACTGCTCGTTTTCATATAGTTCTTCATTAACCCCTGACACGGTTCAAGGATACAATACCAACATCAGTTCTCGCTGTTTCTATTCGTAATACTTAGCTATGTTGGGGTTCGTTAATAATAATACAAAACTTTTAAATGCACTTAAGCGCTGGGGAAATAGAACTTTCGGTGAGAAAAAGCGCGAAGGTGTTAACTACGTTAAAAGCTTCTGCACGGCCCCTGCCCGCCGCCGCCGCCGCCGTATGCATTATGAACGAGTTCGGAATTTCGATTCGTTCGAAGTGCAAGTTTTTGGCTGCGAAAAAGTTTCGAATTTCGTTAGATGCACACGTAGTTGGAAAAAGTCCGCGGCACGGAGAGCAACTCCGAAGAAACTAATTAGAAAATTAATAAGCGCCGACTGGTAAAACGAAACGTCCGAAAGTCGAAAAAGTTTCTTGGAGCCGGCTGCGGCGCTGAAAATTCACCTCTCCTCCACCCTACTGCCCCCTCTCTCCATGATACGAAAACTCTAAGAAATTCACATTGAAATGTTAACGTCCGATCAAAATGGAAATGAAAAATAATAATAATATAATAAAACTGATAAATTTCAATTAGCTTGAACATGAATTTTATTTATCCAAAAGATAATTTTGTGGCATTACATTTTAAATATGATTTCTGGCATATGACCGCCACGGCTGGCGCGGATGTAGTCCAATCTGGACGTCCAATTTTCGATTACTTTTTCCAACATTTGTGGCCGTATATCGGCAATAACACGGCGAATGTTGTCTTCCAAATGGTCAAGCGTTTGTGGCTTATTCGCATAGACCAATGACTTTACATAGCCCCACAGAAAGTAGTCCAGCGGTGTTAAATCCCAAGATCTTGGAGGCCAATTCACAGGTCCAAAACGTGAAATTAGGCGGTCACCAAACGTGTCTTTCAATAAATCGATTGTGGCACGAGCCGTGTGACATGTTGCGCCGTCTTGTTGAAACCACATCTCCTGGACATCATGGTTATTCAATTCAGGAATGAAAGAGTTAGTAATCATAGCTCTATACCGATCTGCGATCTGTAACGTTCTGGCCATCATCGTTTTTGAAGAAGTACTGACCAATGATTCCACCAGCCCATAAAGCGCACCAAACAGTCAGTTTTTCTGGATGTAACGGTGTTTTAACATATTCTTGAGGATTAGCTTCGCTCCAAATGCGGCAGCTTTGTTTGTTGACGTAGACAATCAACCAGAAGTGCGCTTCATCGGTAAACAAAATTCGCTTATCGGGAACAACGGCAATCTCGTTTTGGGCCCATTTGCAAGCGTTGTTCAGGCGTGTCATGGTTGTTCATAGCTCTTGTCCCACTAACATTTTTTTCAGTTGATATTTTTCGTCCGGTCTCTCCTGCCGTATATGCACGGAATGCTGTAAACTCCTCGCATCTCAAATGGAATTTTGTCTTTGTCGGACAGCAGATGTTGAGAGATTTTTGGACAAGTGGTAAATCTGGTTTTGACGTTATACTTCTTTAGAATTTTTAATATTTGGTCAGTGATGTTTTGAATGTACATTACATTAGATAAACAAGATATTCTAGTTAGTTTCGACGTAGAATCCCTCTTTATCAAAGTTCCTATCCCTGAAACTCTTGACATCATTTCAGATTTATTAAAATCCGAGAATCTGGAACCAAACCTTCTCACCTTAATTGAAAAATGCTTGTCGGGAACATATTTTTCTTATAAGGGTCAAATTTTTGAACAAACGTCGGGACAGCTATGGGTTCTCCACTATCACCAGTAATCGCGAATATGTTTATGGAAGCTTTTGAGAAGAAAGTTCTCGACACCTTTCATCTAAAACTAAAATTATGGAAACGCTAGGTCGATGATACTTTTGTTATTTGGCCAAGAAACCCTAGTAGATTTTCTTAGACATTTAAACTCGATACACCCTAACATACGTTTTACCATTGAGTTGGAAACTAGTAATAATAACCTGCCATTCTTGGATATTCTTATCAATAGAAAATCAGACCTAACATTGGGTCATTGTGTTTACAGAAAACCTACGCCCACAGACCGATACCTTAATGCATGGTCACATCACCATCCGGCCCAAAAATAATCGGTTATCAATCTTGTTTACAGAGCCGTAAAACTGTTTCAGCTCAGCCCGAGTCCACTAAACCCAGAATTAAAACACCTTACCTCTGCTCTTCTGTCTAATAATTTCCACATTAAAGATATTAAGCGTTCCATCAAAAAATACACTTCACCACAACCTTGCAATAGCAATAAGGCCGAAAGCAATCCTACATTTGCCACTGTGGTCCTTCCTTACATTCAGAACATCACTGACCACATATCAAAAGTTCTAAAGAACATCTGCGGTCCATCCGACATTGGAGAAACCGGCCGAAAAATATCAACTAGGCTCAAAGAACACGAAAGAGCCTTACGACTAAGACAAATAAACTCATCAGCTGTTGCCGAACACACTCATGAAACCGGGCATAAAATTTTATTCGATAAAACTAAAACTCTTGCATGTAATCAGTTCTTCTACCAACGAAAAATCCGATAGACTATAGATAGAATCTATAGAAATCTATAAACAGTCTAACAAATATTAACGGCTACTCAGGTCTCTACCTATTTCGACTCAGCAAAAACCGACGCAGGAGGAATCCAGAAGCTTTGTAAAAAGTAAAATCATTTTTAATTTTACTGCTATTTACTATTAGCAAAGGTTTTTAGATAAAGTAATGGAAGCGGTTTGAACTAGTAATCTTGTGTTTTGGGGTTTATTGGTAACAACTGGCTGGTTTTCTTAAAAAACTGTAAACACTGTTATACCATGTAATAAAACCTGAAACTACAATAGAGAAATTCTAGTTACTCTTGCAGTAATTTTTTACGAACTTTTTGATATAGTGAGGAATGAACAATAAAAGGTCAAAACCTCGACGTAGAAACAGAAAAGATTTCCGCCTTTCACTGAAAAACGAACCTGCTTTAAGCGCCGAGAAAGTGCTTATAGAAGAGATGTGTGTGGGAGTTTGTGTTCGACCGTGCGAGCGCTGACACCTTTTGTTATTCGACACGAACGGATTTAGTGCACCGCTGACCGAACCCCGTGGGGCAATTCCATCCACCCCCCTATCCCCACTCCCACGACCCCTAAATATCCATTCGGACGATCTAATATGCCCCTCACGTGCTGCGGATCTCACTCGACGAGCTCGTTTCCCTCGGCTCCAGTACCTGCTGACGGTGCCGGTTTATTGCGAATTTGTCCGCCGCAAAATTGACCCCCTGTCCCCCGCGAACGCCCCATGCCGCCGACTCGTGGGGCTGCAAATAAACACGGTATCCTAATCGCCGTTTGTTTTTCAATTTTTTGCAAAAATTCGTGAGAGGTCTAGAAACAAAATATGTCGATCAAACCCAAATCCATGTTTGTCTGTCCAAATTATTGGCCAACTGTTGTTTTGACCCAGGAAGATGCCGCTCTATTAATTAATTTATTATTACTATTTATTAGTTTGGTTCAACTTTTCAAAATTTCGATCCCCATACTACATTTATTTTTATTTAAAGATTGTCTTCATGTGTCCTTAGTCATATTTTAATTTTTAATATGCCTTTAGCCTAGCTAATATATCTATAAATAAATGTTCGAATTGAATTTAAATTTTACAAGCTGAAATCAAAAGAAAAATAAGAAAGTCTGTTAGGCTGTCTTTTGGTGGTGGAAGAGTTGGGGAAAGTATAAGAGAGGAAGCAAAATGTAATTCTAATTTAATTTCCATTATTATTTCAACCTCTATTATAATAATTAAATGAATTTATTTTTTTCCTTAAAATAGATCTTTCTACGACTTCCAAACGGTTTATACATATTTTTGCTGCCGTTAACTAGACCGATCCTGCATATTGCAATATGCTTCTCATATAAGCTTCACATAGATAGCCATATAGCAATTTAACTATTATATGATTATATCCACACAATAGAGAACCAATTTTTCAAAGAAACTTCCACGGGCTGCTGTAATACTAATCGCAACTCGGGTGTTTACCTGTCAATAACATTGGAATCACTCGAGCGAGACGATGTTCATGCTCCTCCTTTAGCTCCACAATATATAAACACTTTTTATAAAACTTCTGGATTCCTCCTGCGTCGGTTTTTGTTAAGTCGAAATAGCTAACGTTTCGCCAATTATCCTGTTTTTCTTCTTCAGAGCTTGAGTGAAACTATCTCGCATTTTACTCTCTACCTGCTTTTATACTGTTTGAGGGGGGAGGAACTAAATGAGGGGTATAAACACCGTCTCGGATGACTGATTCCCATATTGGTGACAGCCCGAGTCATTGAACCTAGAATTAAAACACCTTACCTTTGCTCTTCTCTCTAATAATTTCCACATTAAAGATATTAAGCGTTTATTAGTTTGGTTTAATTTTTCAAAAGTTTCGATACCGCATACTGGATATAATTTTATTTTAAAATTTTTCTTTAATTGTCGTTAAGTCTTACTTTTATCAAGCCTTTGGCGTAGTCAATATATTTATATATAATTGAATTTAAATTTCACAAGTTGAAATGAAAAATTGGAGAGTCTTTTGGTGGTAAAATTGAAGGGGAAAGTATAGGAGGGGAAAGAAAAAGGCTATCATTACTATTTAATGTATTTAATATTTAGCGATCTGTCACT